AGCACTTTCAAAGTATCCAAAACCTAAATCATGTGACAAAAGCCTAAACAACAACTACTTAGTCCAAGTCCCATAGCTTAGAACAACCTATACAATGCCACATTACATAGATTGACTGTATACTCATTTTCACGCCTAACCTGATTTCAAAAAAACCACAGGGGAGGCAAAAATACATAAACCCATCATTTTTCTATTGTACAATAATTCAAAATAAACATAAAAACCTACTTACACCAATATTTAGTCCTTATTTGACATTAACATCATATATAATAGTGATAGGGTATTAAATACAATCAATTTCACAAATATTATGTATTGGTGCGAGTAAACCAAAATAATTATCTTAATTGGCAATTAATCATCATAAATTACCAATTGAACAAAAAGAAAGAGGCATGTTCTAGTAACATATTTCTATGCCTCAAGCTCCTTTTCTTTAGTCTTCTTAGAACTGAAGCTTATAATATGAATAAATAGGGGTGAATACGCTATTCAATAACTAAGGATAACTCTAAATCATGCACATGCAAGTTAAATCAATTAAGGCATACAAAATAGGCATTTGAAATCCAATCAGATACACACACACACCCCACAATATCACATCGCATGATATTATACATGCATGATCAAATACTCCTTATCTCCTCCATTGTCGACTAAATATGTGGGCTGATAATTTAATAAGATTAAGTTGATGTGAATAAACTAGCCTAAGCTTACCAATTATAAGGAGCTACTCAGCCAAAGGTGTTACATTTACTCTTAAAACTATGAATTCCTCTAATTCTTGAATTCATCAGGGTGTCATATGTCTCACTATTCACTAGGCTAGGGTGAGGTAAGGATAGAGTGTAGGCAACCTGTACTTACACTTATTTTTAGGTGAGATTTAAAAAGATCTGATCCAGAGCCAAACATCAAGGACACCTATGATGTTTGTTATATTCCACGTGGAAATAAAATACCAACTCCTAAAATACCAACTCCTCTTAGGACATTCTTCCACCTAATTATTGAAAAGTCTTAGCATATTAAATTAATGGTTAAGAGCCATTTTTATCCCTCAACTTTACTTAAAAGTCAATGGGGACTTCAAACTCAATTATGGGTCAATTATGTCCCTTGACTTTAAATATTCACTTTTTCCTCCCTCATCTCCTTATCACAATCTTACAATTAATTAACTATTAGTGGGCCCCATATTATATTTTTTTTTATATTTTTAATTATAAAATATCTGAGTTGAGGGTGCCTAGTAGCCCTTCAAATAAAAGTTGAATGCCTAATGAACATTAAATGTTTTTAATATCAGGATGAATGAAGGAGAAAATTTTTAACATTGAGGGACAAAAGTAACCTATAGTGAGTTTAGAGTCCCTATTGATCTTTCGTTAAGTTGAGGGATAAAAATGACCTTTAACCTAAATTAACACAGCATGCATGTAATGTCACAAGTTTTTATATCAATTCATTCCATAATATATATCACTTCCAAAAATATAATTTATTTCAATTGATACCAAAAAAGCCACATTTGTATTCCATTTTCTAAAACAATAACAAGTTTATATTTGAATAAGAACCACATTAATCATGTTCACAAACAATCAAAATCAATCCAATAAGCAATTAGCACAAGGTGAAATTTCTCTCATTTACCTCAAACCTTTGTGAACTCAAAGGTTGCTCTTAACACTTGCTTCTCTGACTTGCAATGATTTCACACAATTGCATGACAAGCAAAACTAACAACTAACAACAACCAACATCACTAGTTAACAACTATAATACCATTTCTAACACCCACTCACACTTTAAAAACTCACTTCCCAACCACAAACTCAACTTCACTACCCCATGAATTTATTAATTTTCATTAACCTCATTTAGCTTCCATTAGCTTAAATAAAAACTAATATATCATCCAACAATTTAAAATTTTACTCAAAATGGCTAAGGTTGTCCAAAATCCTAGACCCAAACTCAAAAACTTGTAAAACTTCAAAACTAAGTTTATATGGGTTAAGTAACTTTCATTAATCCCATAAGAATCAATTGGTTCAAGCCTACAGCCCTAAGTCTAAAAATGTTCATCATCTTCCAATCCTAAAACTTGAGTTAAAAAATCATGTAGAGGGGAGTGGAGAGGAAATAAAAGACTTACCAAGATGAAACCAAACTAGAAACACCTCCAAAATGCCTAAAGATTGAAGCCCTAACAAACCAAAAGCCTTCCCTCATTGAGTCTCTCTCAATCTCGTTCTTTCTCTTTTCCTCTCTACTATTGCAAGCTTTAATAGATAATTTACATTTCTGACCATCCATTATGGTGCATGGTGCCTCCACCATTGTGGATGGAACATAAAAGGCCAATCTAAATTACTCCTCAGTCGTGGGCCCAAGGGGCCCAAATCACTTCCAGCCCAAATCCTAAGGATGTATCCATATCAAGACAACCTGTTAACCATCTTTAGACATCAATAAACCCATTTATATGAACTTTCACCTAATTACTCTTGTTAAATTAATTTCATCCAATAGTTAAAATTTAGGATGTTACAAATAGCCTACTTGTTGAGTGAGAAGTCATTTTGCATAGCATTTGTTGAAGTGTGGGTAATGGTGCTAATATTTATATCTGGGAAGATCCCTAGATTCCTATACTTCCTAATTTTAAACTCCACTCTCCCCAACCAACTGTCCAAGCCAAACAACTTATGGTGGATTTCCTCATTACTGATAGCACCTGGATCTTTCACTTTTGATGGATTATCACTCTCAAGAGGAAATGCAAGCTATCCTTAGCATGCCCTTATCCAGCAGGCCAATTCTAGATAAAACATTCTAGTTAGGAACTAAAAATGGGATTTACAGTGTCAAATATGGTTATTAATTAATCTCTAATTTAGCTTGTCATCTCTTTGAAAGCTAGCACCTCTTTTGCACTGCATAAAGGTCTATAGAAAACTATGTGGAAGCTATAGGTGTCAAAAAGAGTTAAGCACTTCATTTGGAGACTATTTAATAATGCACTCGCTTCCAGTGAATGCCTTTGGAGAAACACTACCGTTCTAACCCTTTCTATAGCTTGTTGTAATTATGAAGTTGAGTCCGATGAGCATCTCTTACTCCGCTATGAGTAGTCAAGAAAGGCATGGCTCACTAGCTTTATTGGGCTGCACTTGATAATTCCAATGGAGTATATAGGTGGTTTTTGGAATTCTCTTTAGCCCCTAATACTGATGATTGGCACTTAGCTCTTTTTGCTATGAATTGCCGGTTTATCTGGGAAGGCAGATCTGCAAATTACTTTGAAAACATCCTCTCTTTCACAAGAGAGAGATTTTGCACCGCTTCACCATTTTCGAGTAATGCTTTTACTTTGTACAAAGCTCTTTGCCTTGCCTCAAACCATGGCTTTGCTTTAGTGGAGTTTGAAACTGACTGCAAATTACTTGTTGATACCATCAATTCTGATTGCATTTGTCTTGAATGGACTAGCTCCATTCTCATGGCTGACATAATACTACTTGGTCCTTATCTTGGATCCCTAGAACAGCGAGCCTAGCTAGTTATTGGATAGGTAAAGAGCATCATAAGGGGGTGTGCCCTTCTGGATGGAAAACTTTTCTGCTTTTGATGCAGATGCTTTGTCTTAGGTAATGATATTTCTCCTTTGAAACCCCAAAAAAAAAAAAAAGAACGGTTGGCTTCAAGAAATCTCCTATAAATCAAATTGCCTTGCATGACTAAACGGGCTGGACGCGTTGGTGCAAGATGTCCAATCCTTTCTCTTCTTTTTTCTTTAATCAATTTCGATTTTTATATTTCTCATAATATTTCTTTTTCTTTTCCAAGAGCTAATCACCTTTACCTAACCCATTAAGGAAGTGATTTTTAAGTAGTTTTTCTTTTTTTTTTCTTTTTTATTACTTCTTTGTGCTTTTTAAAATTTGTCTTAATATAAAAAAAAGTACTTTTGAATAAAATCATCCAAATATATATAAATTTTCCCCTAAAACCACTCTTGCTGGAAAAAATCTAAGCCAAAATTGCTTTTGCCAATATATATCTTCTTTCAAAATCATTTGTTTATAAAATTAGGTTTATGAAATTTTGCAATGTTGGCTCGGAACTTTTACAAATAATTAAAAGAAAAAAAATTTCAAATTATTTTGATACATTATTTGAATAAGTCCATAAAGTTAATCAAGTGCGATAGTAGAGCATGAAAGAGAATATCCTAAAAATATAAAAATATACAAAGATATCATAAATTTTGAAATAATTAGATAATAAATCTTTGTTATGGACAAAGATAAACAAAAATATCATAAAATATGAAAATCGTTAAATAATAATTATGTTTTAAGATTGTAATAATCAAAAATACAAAAATAACTTCTACTTTATGTAAAAGCTATACACAATAAATCACTTTTCATAAAAATTTCTATACTACCTAAAAATTACTTATTTTCTTAAATATAAAAAAAAATTGCCTTGATAACAATACAAACCGCCATTGCTCAGGCATCATCCATTTCGGTTTCTCAACTGTTATTGAGGTCCATTCAACCAAAAATGCAGCAAAATGTCATGGGATCATTACTCTCTCCCAAAAGGTTAATCAATTAGGGCGTGCGGTACATCCGCTTATATAGCCAGAACCCTCCCCAAGTCCCGCTGATGTGGGACTTGATAACTCTTCTGACCAATCCGTGATGCCCCCATCATGGGTGGCCCACCAGAGGGGTCCACCGACTGGACAAACTCGGGTTTAGCTCTGATATCATTTTGTCACGGGGCTATTACTCTCTTCCTAAAAGACTAATCTATTAGGGCGTGCAGCGCACCTACTTATATAGTCAGGACCCTCCCCAAGTCTCTCCATGTGGGACCTGACAAAAAACTACTATATTAAAAAAGAGATTCTTTGCTAGTGTTAGACAAGTACATTTCACCCCAAAAAAAAAAAAAAAACACTCACACATTAACATTACACTCTTCCACATATAAAGATTTGTAACATTCGTCTTTTTCAAGCCCATGGTGATTACAATACAAAATTGCAGCTGGATTTTCAACAATAAATTAACTTGCCGACTTCATCAAAATGCTACAGCGATGGAAGTTAGTATTCGTCAAGGTCCATTCTATTACTTTGAATTAATCATATGACATATTGGCCCAAAAAAAAAAAGAATAAATCATGACATAAAATGAGACCAGCCGAAGTCCCATTCAAATTAATCCCTGCGAAAAATGCTGGAGGTTGCATTTACCTTTAGGGAGCGTTCAGGGACATAAGCAACACCTGTAGACGAGAAAGTAGACACATAAGAAACAAGAGAAAGTTAGCATTTTGCAACATGATTGCAAGTCAACAATTTGAAAGCAAACAAACATGGTAACTACAAAAAGATTGAATACATCTTTAAGAAGTTGGGACAAAGAAATTTTAGTTTTTTAAATTTATTTCAATTATCAATTTGGTCATCTAAGTTTAATTTTTATCAATTTAGTCTCTTGTATTTTTTAAATTATCATATTAGTCCTTTAAATTTTAAAACATAAATTGACTTTTAAATTAATCTAATGTGTAAAGTATATGGCTAAACTATACTTTTAATGCCTGAACTTTACATGAGATTTTTATTTTGATCCCTTAAATTTATAAAGTGTTTTTCTATTCATTGAATCCTAACAATGTTAGTTCTATCACACAAAAATTTTACATTAGATTTTTAAATATTGACAAAACATTATAAAATATTGACATATTAAATTTAACTTTTTTAAAATAATAGTGATCGACACAAAAAAATAATCATATAAAACTAATGGTATTAGGGTTAAGGAACTAAAAAAATACTTCATAAAATTAAGGGAGTAAATTGAAACCTTGTATAAATTTAAAGGATCAAAGGTATACTTTAACTTAAGTATATTGATAACTTGATATGTATGTGTGGCTAAATAAGAACAAATTAAATCCTTAAAATAAGTTTAATTTTAATCAATATAGCCTCTTATATTGAGTTTTGTTCTTTTGTTTTTTAAAATTTGTCTTTTTTTCCAACCAAAATAATTACACCTTTCATTAATCTACATGGCTGCCATCGTATTCTGTTATCTATATTAATAGATTTTAACAGTATTACTTTTTTTTAAATAATAAAAACTAAATTAATAACCAAGGTAAACTTAGGGACCAAATTGATAATTGTAGTAAATTTGAGGGATTAAAAATTTCATTTCTTAAGGAAGATCGAGAATGCAATTTAGTAGAAAAAGAATGGTAAGGAAAAAAAAAAGTATACAAACCTTTTTCTTTGACATCAATTTGCAGAGTGTCAAGAATAATTATACCATCAGTCAATGGAAGTAGCTCAAGCTTGATGGTGGCTGAAGATTGAGATGGTGTAGATCTGATATGGGCCAAACAAAGTTGTGGTCAGTATAATTTCAAACAAGAATTTTGAATGAAAAAAGTTGATACATTACCCTAAAGGAACTCTACTATGTAGCCACAAATGTGAACAAATCAAGTCAGAATTGGGAACAATATCATCACTAATGGAATCAGTCTGAGGTATGTCATCATCTATTTGTTTCTCAGTCTCTTCACTATCCAGTCTTTTACTATTTACTCTTCCCAAGCATTCTGCGAACCCAACGAAAGGACTCACTGGTGTAGTTGGTGAATTAAGTGAAACCACTGAAGGTGGTGAAGTAAACGAGGCTGGAGCCAGTACCGTCAAAGTTAGATCTTCTAATGTGAAATTAGAAACTTGAAGAGTTAACACCTGACATCAAAGCCATTGATTCAACTCATTGTATTTACTTACCAATACGAGTAAACCAAACAGAATTCTTGAGCAAAGTCCCAACTTTGAGATACTCAATAGTTAAACATGTATACAAACCTGAACAGGAAGTTGGGAGTTTCTTTCATTAGGGTGAAAGAGACTGTCCTGACATCTCACATGCAACAGATATCATAATATCCCTTGAGGTGCGTGGTCGCCAACTAGTTGGCTGCTTAAAGAACAACCTTGATGCTAGTTTAAGTAAAAAAAAATAAAAAATGGGTCAAAAAAAATTATTAACCGCTCAACAATCATTAGACTCCATAGCAAACTAAGGGGACAAATCTTACCTGTATAATTGCACCGGCATGAGACCATAATAGCATAGTTATCTTCCATTAAAGCAGCCTTCCTTTTGTCAAGATTCTTGGTGGAAAGATTCAATTTTGATGTTGACTTTGCAATTTGTAACTTTGATGATTGAGAATTTTTTCCTTGAAGCTCCATATTTTTCCACATAGAAATTGCTGGTTTAAGAATAAAAGAATGTTCTTCCCCTCTCCTGTAATTGTTTTTTTTTAAATGAAGTCAAAATATATACAAACGATAAGACGATTACAGTCAAAATACCTTTAGATCATACAAAACCTAAAGGCCCAACAAAAGACGACAAAAGACAAACTATAAACACAGTCGAACAAAAACAAAAAAGCAAGAAGCAAGAAGCAGAAAGCATAAACGATTAGATAGACCACCTAGAGCTAACATGAGAAAAGGGCCAAAGTAGCTAAGCACAAACTCTTGTAGATGATCATTTTGAAGGCTCATATAAAAAATGATCAATAACTAGTTTAAAAACGAGCCCATATGACAGGTTGAAAAGCACATTGAGCCAAAATAAGAACTGATTATTAAATGACCATTTAAGCTCTTACATATATCAATTTCTAAAGGGCATTGATCTCAACTAAGCCATTCAATTTTCTCCTGATTTAAACGCCAAAGCAAAAACATGTAATATTGGGTAAATGGGTTACGGGCTAACCTGCAGGCTAGCCCATGCGGGCTGGCATTTTTGCAAGTTGAGTTGGACCAGCCTGCCAGATAAAACGGGTTGGAAAATCCAACCCAACCTACTTTCTAGTAGGTTAGCCAACCTGCGGGTTAGCCTGCAAAAAATTATCAAAATTTTTTTTAATAATTTAAAATTTATATAATATAAATATAAATATATATATTTATTTCATATTTTAAAGCAAATTAGCAATTAAAAAACTTGTAAATAAATAAAATAAACATAAAATTTAACCAAGCAAATTTATTTTGCTAGATTTTTATTATTAATTATTTTTTTGCCTAGGTGTGCTATCTTTGTCACTAAGAAAAAAATTTAAATATAAACTCATATTATTTTTCTCGGTGAATTCATATTTATAATTTTCAATCAATAGATCTTATGAGATTAATAAATAATATATATTTAAAATATTTCTGTAAAAACTAATAAATCATCTTCACAAACTATAACAAAAATTTTATTTGCAAATTATAAAAAAGATTTACACTATCTTTCAAATGTAAGGAACATATTTGAAAGTCATAAATTATATATTTAAGAAATATTATCATTATTGTAGATTTATAAAAAGATATAATGTAATTAAAAAAATTTTAAAATATGTTAGCCTGCAGGCCAGCTCATTTAGCTCTCAGGCTAGCCCATTTTAACCTGTTATTTTTGTGGGTTGGGCTAACTCAGCCCGTTTTAAAAAATGGGCCAATTTCTTCAATCCAACTCTTCAAATTGTGTGGATTAAACGGACTAGCCTGTGAGCTCAACCCGTTTTCCTAACTCTAGAAACATGTGTATATTCATGGGAATACACAATGTCTTCATCCACAACAAGGTTATCACTTTTTGGTTTAAAAAAGTTAAAGTATTCTTTAGCGTTTATGTATTAATAGAACAATCCTCTATTCAAGGAGTTTGAAACATTTTTGGATAAACAACAAAAAATAAAATGAAAAAGAAAAGGAGACAAAATCACAAAGTGAATGTGCTTGGTGACGTGGCAATATACAATCCAGCAGAAGCCAGGCTATTAGCAGGAAAACATCCACATCACAGCATGAAAACATCCCCATCACATAAGTTGATCTCTTCCGTATATGTTTGGAATCTCTAAACTCAAAGAATTCGTTTCATTAGTAATTTGATTAATTAAAAAATTTTCACGGTCTATGAACCCTATGCATTTTCATAGAATCTCGAATAATTTCTTTCAGAATGACTTTTTTTCCTTGTTTCTATAAATAAATAAACACTAAAACCTTTCAACAAGTAAAGGTTATTGGTCTTTCACCCATCTACACGCACACTATTATAGTACTTGTCACTTGAATTAAAAGGGAAAAAAAGTCTTCGAACAAATGAATCTCAATTTTTCAAACCGTAACTTATACATTTACTAAGTAGTTTCGCTTGTATCCCATAGCCTTACAGCTTTGTTTTTCAACCAAAACACTGACAATTGAGGGAATTTCTCCAACATTTCCATTAAAGTAAGATTTTAAGATTTAAAAAGAAAAATCATTAAGCAACAAGAACTGTCTAGTGACTAATTTTTTGTCATATATGCTTTTGGATATGCTAGTTCGCCAATCCTCCCAAATTAATGTCAAACAAATCTCAAATTAAGTTTCTTTAATAGAAACTTTTTCTCACTAAAATTAGGTAGAGATAACTTATTCAAATTGTTAAATATTGCTTAAGAAGTTTTCAAGACTAAAGTTTGTGCCTTCACCATAAAAAATTTTAATAAAAGAGCATATCAAGGCTAACCTTTAAATCTATAAGCTTCCTTCACAAAACCAATTTGAGCAATAGATAATTCAAGGTTTTTTCTATAGCTGACTTTTGGTTTTCTGAAGTTGATACCAAACTCAAACGCAAGTTTGGGTGGCATGCTTTTATGGAGTATCATATCTGACAAGTACAAATACAAACAATAATTAAAAAAATCACAACCTGAGAGATAGATTTGGTAAAGAATGGTCATTTCCAGCTTCAATGCATGCAATCGGTAATGATGAAGGTGGTCCACCATCTGTAGCCTCCCCAAAGACAAGTGATATGGCATCTACAAATATCACAATCTCTGGAGCATGTGCTGGAGCAACATTCTGGCAAACAACTTTAAAAATATTGATAAAAGTAAAAACTGAACAGCATGCCAACCTGATTTGTAGTAGTAGATGTAACTTGTCAAATAAATAAACCAAAATATATCATAATTCAGACCTTAATCTGAACACAAAGAAGATCCTCTGAATTGCAGTCGGCATTAAAAGAATGAATCTCTATGGGATGAATTATTTCAATCTTTCTTCTCCACCTTCTTCCTGGTGTATAGATACCTTCTAACCCACACCGAACAGAAAATCTTTCTCTCTCCAATGAGACACCTCGAAAAGACAAAAGCTCTTCAACCTTAATATTTTTCCTTAAAAACTTCTGTGGATCCCAGTCATTAAGGTCAAAGCTAGGCTTAGAACTAGCTGCTTTAACAGGAGCCGTTGGCAAGTTTGTATTATGAGGTAACGATGACATGGAGTAACTTCTAAAATGAGTCAAGGAGAATAATTGAGAGCCAGATGATGTTGAAGAGTTAGATCTCTGAGAAGTAATACCAATTCCTGAGTTGGAACTTAAATGAGGAGGTGACAAGGATCGAGCTGTACTAGAAGTAATATTATCTAAAGGAAGTAGCCATTTTAGTAGCTCTTCACATGGTTGCTTTTTGGTAGAAAATAAATTATCCTGATTCTCAGAAGGAAAATCTTTCTCTTCAAACTTCTCAAATTGGAGAATTTCAATGCAAGGGTCTGTAAGAAAATTAACGCCAACATTCACCTGTAAAAGAACCTGCATCCTTCCAAACAGTAAAATAGATCAGATTAGAAATCAGTAAAAATGGTCAACCAATCATGAAGAACAAGGCTTGCATATTAAAAAAAAAAAAATGGCTCATGTTATATATGAAGCATTTGTTTATCGAATCAATGAAAAGAGAGGCTTGAAACAATAAATTTTGAATCGCAGGATGGTAGGAGGCAAAATATTCTAGAGAGCTTGTTAACAATGATATTAGGATTACTACTTTGCAAAATCCAGTTCATTCCCTTCATCATGTACAAGTTTCACATGAATATCTGAAGCTGCAAAACTCCGAAAACTCCACATAGTAGAAGCTGAAAATGTTGACAAAATAAAACTGCTGCAAGCTGAACCAAAACTAAACTTAAAATAAAAATTCATTACTGAGCTTCATCCAAATTTAGTATGAAATTATTAATAGAAAGATTCTCCATGACTTTCACTCACAAGTTGAACAAATATATCAAAATCCTACACTTGCCTTCGTAAAGTCTAATTAGAAGCAAGGACGAACAATGTATCTACAGAACAATACTCTTACGTACAAAATATATTATTATCCACTTACACTATGGTTGTAGATAAAGGTAATAAACCATTTTGGTCATAGTAATAAAATAATATAAATGAAAATAAGGGGAATGTAAACAGAGTTCTTTCATCTAATCAAAAAGAAACAATAGAAGAGGAGAAGTTTCATACATTAAAACGTTGACCTAGCCTATTTATGTTGATTTATCTTCTAAAAAAGAAACAAGGCGATATAGATATAGTACATTCCAAATATGAATGGCATATGACTCCTAAACTTAAGAAGACTTTACTATTAATTTAATTAGGCTCCTAGATCTACAACTAATAAGGCCAAATAGCTTGTAATTATTAACCAAATAAGGATAGGCAAAGAAAATATAACAATTCTCATGATTATTATTCATGAATGTAATAACACGAAATGAACTATCATAGTTTCATAAGTTTTATAGCACGTACCACTATGTCTCCATTAGGAAGAGCGAAACACTGAGCAGAACTTCTAGCCATTCCACTAGATATGGTTGCATCCAACTTTCCTCTATCAATAACTGCACTAGAACAAGACATCTTTCTTGTAGCTGCTTTAGTTCCAATTGTTGAGGCCTTCTGACTGTTTGTTTCAGCTGAACTGGAAATTTTTTCTGAAACACCTCTTTTGGACCAAAGTGGCTCATCAAACTCAGAAATCCTCACAAAGAAATGAGAAGTCTCAATTCTTTGCAGCAACAACTCAGTCCGTCTTTTGTGCTCTTCCCTCCTAAGAAGAGATTCGCAGTTTGTCTCTTGACTGCTAGGACTCATTTCCACTTCTTCTGACATTAAATTATTTCCATGTTCGACATTTTCATGCTCTCCCTCAGAGCTGTGACCCATGCCATTCTTAATCATCACCGCAGCAATTTTAAATGGAGTAATAATCTCAGTATCCTGGTTACATGCAGACAAGCATGCTAGGATATGAATTTGTTCACCTGAATTATAGGTATAACTTAGGTCTAGTCAACTTTTCATCAGAGTTGAGAGACCAACCCATGCATTCCAAAAATGACATTCATATATTTAATGATGGAAAGAGTCTGTTACCAGGGAAAAGAAAGGAACGGTCAAGAGAACGCAGGGATTCTATGTTTGATGTCTGGTTCCAATTTTCAGGGATTTCCTCTGTGAAAAGAATATAGAAAGATGTATCACATAAGAAATGTAAACCTCATTTGTAAGATCATATATAAGAGGAATAACCTGAAAAGAAACTACTTTTCAATGTTTTAATAAAATAACTAGTGATAATGACATAATGTGATTATAACAGTGAAAACCATAATCTGCTTATAATTGCATTCATGTTATAAGTCTGTTATGAATACAACAAAAAGTGTTAATGCATTCAAGACATTCAAGTACCTAAATCTATATAAAAGCATTCTACAACTTTTAAAACCAAACGCCATCTAATGCTCTAAATATATTTATACTAATTCATAATATCCAATCCACTTTGGCAGCATATGCCACAAATGGTGGATTTTAGCCTAATATTTAACTTTACCCTCTTTTGCTAGCACAAACCACACGTATTCAAATGTTCAAATGACACGTAATTAGTCTCTGACAGAATTATGGCACAGTAACAAAGGTTTAGTGACTAGATCACATTATAAAATTTTAAAACTATAGGAATTCAATTACAAACTTAAAGACTAGATAAAAGATTGAATAAAAATATGGAGATTAACATTGTAGTTTAACCAAATATCTCAAATAAACATATTCTTGCACTAAGAAACTAATGATTCAAGAGCCAATACAAAAGCCAAACAAGACCATTTCGACATCAAGTTGTAGCTGCAAAAAATGAGAGCCTTCTCCTGATCACAATGCCTACGTCCTTCCCTCCTCCCTTCTGCACTTGTGTTTTTAAAGGATTGAAATTTATAATACTTAAGAAGAAGTAATTATCTAGAAATGATGTTAATCTATAAAATATGTAACAGCAACTTAAACATATCAAGTTCAGTGGACAAAAATTTCTAGGCTTGGACATAAATCAAGACTTTGTAACAACATCCAAATCTCACTTCTCATACTCAACCAAAATGAATAATCAAACTAGGTCAATGGTGATGACATACTATATGGAATTGTAATCCATCCTTCTTCTTCCAAAACATCTGAGTGCTTAAATAACCCATCTTTTGAATTTCGACCATTCATGCAGCTACCTTCACTTCCAACTCCGCTAGCCTGTCCATCATGCCCTTCAATTGCGGAATACCGTGTATATGGATCTTCAGATATAAAAGACTCCAAAGTTGCTCCTGTTGTTGATCTACTATATATATCTGTTTGTGATTCGGAAATAGGGGGAACATTTGCATGTTCTACGGATACATGTGCAGAAGATCGCATCAAAAAATTCATTGTGCCTGTAAAAGTACCTGCAAAATTTATTCGAGAGTTCCCAAAAGTGTGAATCAGATAGAAGAATGTACAATGGACTAACAAATAAAATGATAATCGATGAATTTTCACTTCACTAATATGATTAATTTCTCCTTCCATTTCTTTTCATTTGATCTTTTATAGCATAACCGTCTTCAAACTTACAAGGCAAATTGTTAAAAAAGTTAATATTGAGTGTTCTTCATTCATGTTCTAGTAACTTGTGGTCATAAAGCCAAGAGAAATACTAGCTACTAAATATTGCTTTATATATGGTTTGGCTCTCGTTTTATGTAGTCAGTGTTGTTTTCTCAAATTTCAATCAAAAGCAACGGCAAATACTCTGGTTGAGATTGAAAGTCCCAAAAACTTCATTTTAATGAGCACTAGTTTGCTCCAACACAATGCCCTTATATTCGTTTGAAGATTAAGGATAGTTCATTGATGAAGAAGAAGAAGAAAAAGGACAATTGTACAAAAAATTAATTGGAAAAGTTGCAATAAGCTCTTCTTAACATTGACAAAGAATATCAACGCAAAACTTCATTAAGAGGCAGCAATTAAAATATTATTATAATTATATAAACACAAAAAGGAGTTTTGTTTGATGCCATAAATCAAAACTTGTTTGATAAAAGCAAGAACAATACAACAAAATTGAGAATTGATAATAGATTACTGCAGAACATGGAACTAAGTAACCACAATAGCAATAATATCGATATTTTACCTGGAGGAGGATCGAGCAGAATCTTGGAGAAAGAGAATCAGGAGGAGTGAGGAGATTCAATGTTTGCATTGCGAGTAAAAGACCTCTCGCTTGTCTTGCATCTCGATCTGATTCTGATGCCTTGAAACACACACGCACGGTGAAACCCAAATTCATCATCAAACTAACCATGAAAAATTTGGCCAAAAACATTTTATAGTAAAAATCTATTCAAAACTGAAGAAGTCACGCGCGCCGTTTTGCAGGTACATCTCAACGGAATTTTTTTTTTTTTTTTTTTTTTTGGGTGCATGATGTCTTGGCCAATTTTTAATTTTCAAAAAATTTTCACGTGCATGTGTGTCACTTTTTTTTTTGGTCGAGAGACAATTACCTAAATATACCCACTTACCCACCTGTATTTACAAAGGAAACTCACACACCCTGTCACAAATTTCCTATTCTAAGCTCGAACCTACCCTCTACTTGTAACAGGGGGTACAATACCGCAATTCGCAAATAATGAGTCATGATCAGCTGATTATGAAATTTAATTTTAGGATCATGATTTTTTTTTTTTTGGAATGTTAAAAATAATAATTTGATTAAAATACTCTGGTTTGGTGACCAAGTTTGCAAGTTGGGGAAAAAAACTTTTTTTAACTCAAGTAAAGTGATTTCATTACTCTTTTAATTAAATTTCTAATCCAATAAAAGTGATTTTACCATTAGCAAATTTTATGTTAGATAATTACAAAGTCTTGTGACCAATTATGCAAGTCTAAGAGTGAAAAAAAAAATTCAACTCAAATAAAATAATTTCATAATCCGCTTCAACTAAATTTCCAGCCCAATTAAAAATGATTTCAATACTAGAAAATTTTAATTTAGTTAATTGTAAGTTTAAAAATAAAAACATTTTCAATTCAAAGTGATTCCATAATCCCCTTCAATTAAATTAAGGATAAATGAACAAACTAGCCCTTAAACTACAGGGCCAAAATGAGTATGGAACTCTAACTCATTTTTTACATAATATTTCCTTTCAACTTATTAGAACAGTGTAATTTGACTTATATTATTAATAAAAATTAACTTTGATTATTAGTTGACTAGAAAATGATAGAAAAAAATTAAATTTACAAACAAAATAACTAAAAAATTGTAATAAAGGACCCAAAAATAACATACAAGGATATAAAAATTTAAAAAAAAAAGATAAAGAAATTTTTTTGATCCTTTTATGTCATTTTTCATGTCTTTTTATGTTATTTTCTAGTAAAATAACTATCAAAATTAATTTTTGTTAACAACAAGGGTTAATTTGTATCATTTACAAAAGTTTAAAGGAAATTTGCAGAAAAAATGAGTTCAAAATCCCATACATTTCTGGATTTAGAATTTAAAAGACAATTTGCTTGTTTAACCATAAATTTATAACCCAATCAAACTGATTTCAACACTAGTGAATTTTAAATTGACATTTCAAATAGGAGCATTTTACTCAAAGTATTATTTTTAAAACTTAAAAAAAATCATGTCCTAAAATTTAATTTCATAATTTGGTGGTGCTAATTAGTTATTTTGATATTAGAAGATTCTTATTTATAATTTCTTCAATTTAAAAGATTAAATTTATTAGAAAATTACCTCTAGGCAAGGAGGGAGAGAGAAGACACAGTTTTAATGCACAGTCATATTCATCACTTAGTAGTAGATGTACTACGTCATTTCATATGTTTTTTTTTTCTTTTTTTCCTTCTAAAACTGCAAAGTTATTATAATAAAAATAAAAAAATATTATAAAATTATTATTATTATATTAAAATAAATTTAAATTGTTGAATTTAACCAAAACAATAGAATTTGACTTAAAAATTTATAAATCAATTAAAAAATTAGAAAAAAAATGTCCTAAGCAATTTAGAATGGCAGTTAGGGCTAGCAAAATAAACTAGTTTCTAAACTTCAACAACTAGTGTTGAAAATGTTTTTACATTTATTATCTGATTGTAGAAAAAATATTTTTAATTACAATTCTAATTTATTCAGTGTATTTCTAGACTATTCAAGTGAAAATTTATATATAAACTGTTAAAGTCTAATTTCAACGATTTAAATTTATTCATTTATTTAATATTAATAATAATTTTATAATATTTATTATTATGATTATTATTATTATTATTATTATTATTGTACCTTTGTGGTTTTAGAAGGAAACCAAACGAAAGGGACATATACAAGGGCCAAAAATATGGTCTTGTCACTGAATAATGGTCCAACTACTAAAAGGAAAAGCACCAGGCTCAAACAGTAGGCTTGCCATTTGGAAATAACATGATCAAAAAATGGAAAAACATTGCAAAATTGTGAAAAGTAATGGAGATGCGGGGTATCGATCCCCGTACCTCTCGCATGCTAAGCGAGCGCTCTACCATCTGAGCTACATCCCCGCACGTGCCTCTGTCGACCAAATTCAATATTTTTTAAAACCTAAGACAGAGCTACATCTCTCTTTCCCCTTTAGTAAAGTCAGATCGAGAATAGCACCCAACAAGATGAACACGAGAACCATTTTATATTAATATTTAATATCACAGGAATGGTTTTTTTTTTTTAACGGGAGAAACATTACAGCTGAAGAAAATACAAACCAACCAGCCAAAAAGAAAATTAAAAACAAGTTACATAGGCTTAAGACTTACAAACATAAAAAACTTAAGAAAAACCATAATATCAGGAATGACTAAAGAACAAAGATCCATTGAACCAGCAAACTTTTCACATAAGGTCTTCAAAAGACAAGTGGGACCATAGAGTGAAAGACTTGGTTCTGACGACATGGGCAAATATTTGAGATGAATATAAGAAGCCTTCCAATTTTACGGGGGCTAAAAGAACAATATATATATATATATATATATGATAATTAAAATAAAATTATATATATCATCATCATAACATAAATATTTCAATGTACATATTTATATTTAATTTTACAAATATATAAGAAAAATAGATATATATTCATTCTTTAAATTTTACTTATTGATTTTTCATAGCGTAAAAATATTTAATTATCATATATACGATAAATTTTTAAACAATTTTCCTTTTAATAGAAACTATCATTAACTTGGTGCATAATTCAATTTCCCATGAGCATTAAATAATTTAAATGCAACATTAAAGTTTAAAGTTATATTCAATTTAAGAAGCTCTATTAGTTACTTATTGAATTTATTATTTAATTTTTTAATTAATAATTATATTAAATAAATATATCAACACTATAACGGTATTCAATTATCACAAGTTCTTTATGTTGATGAGATCTAATTATACCATAATAAAAATTATTTATATAATAAATTTTAATAGCTTAGTTATTACAGAAAAAAGTAATTTACTTTTTAGAAGAACATATATTAATGATAACATCTTAACTTTTAGATAAATGATTTTATGGTAGACATCAAGCATATAAAATTTAATATATTTTATCAAATATAAAATAAAAATAAAATCAAATGACATCAATGCTTTAAAAGCAAGTGTAGCATTCTCTTGTTAAAAATAAGTAAATCTTACAATAAATATATCTTCAAGCTATTGAAATAGGTGGGCTACACATGCATCAAAGACTACATATAAAATTGAAATGAGAATTTTATCTACTTATATAATGTACCAACTTAAGAGCCAAAAATATATAACTCTACATTTTATTTAAAAAAAAAATCAAAAGGTTAAGAAGATCATGACCCTTGTTAGTCTCCCTATCTCCACCACTGCTTGTTGTTGTTGTGCTTTTAGACACTTTTCATAAAACTCAAACATATGTTGTTGTTAAAATAATATTCTAGATTGGATCAAAAGACAACCCACACCTCGTTCCCTTGAACATCCACAACCAAAAACTTGCCAGTCAGCCATTTGGTTCAAGAATCCATGTACAAGGTCTTTCTTTAAACCTAGTGCTCTCCTTGATTATGCTAGCCTAATGCCTAAGGGTCAAAGACTTGTTCAAACTGACCTCAGGAGTAGCTTAAAAGCCCTGATGCACCAGCTTATTTCGACTTCTCTAAATTGAGTATAGAATTGGTAGGAAGTCAATCCTACCACCCATATCCAAGTGTAAGAAAGCATCTTTTAATCAAACAACAATATCAGAACGTAAGACTCAAAGAAGGAGCAAACCACAGCCATAGAGTTATATCATGACCGCAATCCCGAAAAACACGAGCTCTCGGTTCAAGATCATTGCCACATGAAAAACAAACTTTTTATTTAATCTGAAAACATAATCTTTTAACGAAATACTTTTTACATGCAAAAAGAAACGTCTTAAGAATATTGTAAGTTGACTTTAATCAAAAGCGTTTTTAGATGCATAATTACTAAAAAAGCACACCATTTTTGTAATATTAAATAGAAATATACTTAATTTTTAGGATTAATGAGTATCTTGTGCAACATCTTGAGTTTTAAACCTTGAAATTTTTAGTATTTAGGAGGATTATTTGGTCAAAATAAGTTATTTATGAATTAATGGTGTTTTTGAAACACTAATAAGGTTTTTGAACTTTTGTACAACTCAAGAAATAAGCTATGATGGTGTATAGGTCAATCATGCTCGAGTGGGAGACCATTTTGGCATGTGTCACTTGCTGTGCCATATGACACTGCGCATGGCCAAATTCTAGCATTAATCAAATATGAAACACATCTGATTTTAAAGAAGAGAAAGAAATAAAATGTGAGGAGCAATGAAAGAAGGGCTTGTGGCTGCTAAGGCTTAATCTTATGAGTGATTTGGAGGCATTTTTAAGCTTGCTACATATTAGGTAAGCTTCATATATATCTCCATCTTCTTTTTGTGTGAATTTTTTTATGATTGGGGTAATGTAAGACTTGATTTCAATTTTTCTTGGGTTATAACCTAACCTATTGCCTTATTTAAGGTTTTGGAGGGTCAAATCAAGTCGTTAAACCTAAATTTATGGATTTTGTAGTGATTTAAAATTTTTGAGTAAGGTTTAGACAAACCGTAAGTGGGAATTGGGAGATTAAGAGCACGTGGGTATAGATTTGTGGTTATTAGTGTGTTTGAGTGTTAAATAAAATTATTGGAGTGTGTTGGAAGAGTTAATATTGTTAAAGTAAGATTTTTGGTATAGTGGGTACCAAAACTATGTTAAAAATGGGTCAATTAGTATGTGAATTGATAATTAAATGTTTAATCTTGTAAATTAAATATTAACCGAGTGTTTTCACATTAGTGGACATATGTGGAGCTAAGTCTTGACCACAGTAATCCTTTTAAATGATAAAAAGAGTTGAAGTAACTTAATTGTCTAAACTCTTTTTTTGTGTATTTGGATGGTTGTGTAATAGTTATTAAAGTTAATTCCCTTGTTTGTACTAGTATAATATTAATATGAAATGATTATGATTTAGAAACTTTATGTAAAGTAGAATGAAAAATTATATTTTGAACATTGTGGCTCTGAAGATTAGATCATATATTCAAGTATAAATATTTGTAAAATTTTATGATTTATGTGGAAATAACCATTATGGCGGAAATTACATGTTATAGTTATGTATGGAATCATTAAGCATATATTTAGTATGATCATTGTGAGAGAGTGAGAGTTCACCCTAATGTGGTATTGGGGGCATTATTTGAAAATCTATATGGCACACTAGCATTGTGGAGGCCTCGTGCGCAGTTCTATATTTGTTTGAAAGTTCCAGTATTATGTGATATAGGTTGGGCATTGACATCCCTAATATTCATGAACAGGGAGAATATGAGGTCCATAGTGGACAAAAGCGCTCTTAGCCGATGTTGCCTCCTATGATTGGTAAGTTTAGGCCAATCTAGTCACATGAATTTAGTTCTATTAAGTTGTCAGACTATCGATTCAGTTGAAAGATATAAGGAGAGTATAAGGTGGTGTATTGATTATGCATACCATTTTATGATCATATGCATATATGTATGTATGTATGTATGTATGTATGTATGTATGTATGTAACTTATTATGTGTTTATGTGCCACTTCAAATACTCACTGTCTATTATTACACATGAGTAGTTTGATTAAATTATTTAGTTATTAACTTCTTAACTCACCTCGTGGTTACAAATTTTAGGTAATGGCTCTAATAGGGATAAAGGAAAGGAAGGTGCTGTTGATCATTAAAAGGACTTGTGTTTGTATGGTCCTTTCTCTTTCTTTTAGTTTTGTAACGAATTATTTATGTCTATGCCAACTTAAGATCATAAAGCAATTTTATTGTCATTTGCATGAATTTTTATTGTAGATTATGGATATCTCGACCTAAAATATTGTAATTGTGGTGTAATGGTTATGAGAGGTTGAGATACTATCACAAGTATTGATTTTGTAGATCTGTGTATTTAAATGGCCATAATGATTATTGCATTGTTATTACGCCTTTTCAATTTAAGCTAATTTAGGGTTTTGATGGCCAAATCTTGTATGAAATGTTATTGTTGTGATTTAACTGTACAAATAAGTTGTTTGTAGTCCATTTGAGTTACTTCAAATAATATCATATGTAACATCTCAATTTAAATTTTATGAGTTAATTTGAGTTAATAAAAATCTTAAAAAATATTTAGAGATAAGTAAATTAGTAGGAGAAGACTATTACATTTAATTTGGAATATAGTTTTAAATTAAATTTTTTTAAAAAAATTATTGTTGTTATTAAGAAAGAAGAAAAAGAAATATAAAAGAGAGAGAGATTGATAAATGAAAAAAAAAAAATATATATATATATATATAGAGAAAAGAAGGGGGTGGATTTTCATTTCCGCAGGCATGTGTGGTGTGTATACACGTTTGGAAAAAATAAATAAATAAAAGAAAGGAAAAGAAAGAAAAATGTGTGGGACCCACACGTTTTAAAAGAAACACGTGCCTTTTTTTATTTTGCAGTTTTCTTCCTCTTTTCTCCTCTCTCCGTGCGCGACCGTGCTCGGAATAAAAAGAAACAGAGCATGCGCAAGAACTGTGAAGGAAATCTAATTCAAGCTTCATAATAGAATATTTTGATTAAGGCTCTGTTTGGTTGGAGGTAAATGGAGGGGAGGGGAGGGGTTCCATTTCTCTCATTTGGTTTAAAATTTTTGGAGGGGAGGGGAGCCAAAATTTTGGCTCCCTTCCCCTCCCCTCCCCTTATTTTGGCTCCCTCCAAATTGGGGTTTTTTGGAGGGAGAGGTAAATTTATTGACTAATTTACCCTCATTATTTTTATAAAATTACGTTATTGCCCTTGAAACATAATAAATACGTTTGGCTTTCTTTTTCTTCCAGGAGCTCGGTCTGTCTCCAGCGTCTTCTCAGTCTGTCGGAGCTCTCGGTCTGTCGAAGTTCTCACCGTGCATCTGGTCTGCCGTGCGTCTGGTCTGCCGTGCTCGAAGCCCCGCCGTGCGTTATCCCATCAGGTCCTCCTCTTCGAAGCTCTCACCGTGCATTCTCAGGTCAGATGCGTTTTCTTTTCGTTCGGACCCTGTTTTGAGATCTGTGGTTGTTCTGCTTGTTCTGGTTTTCTTTCCGTTCGAAGCTCTCACCTTGTTTTCGTTAGATGCGTGGCTTTGTTCTGGTTGTTCTATTCTGAGCTCTCGATCTGTCTTCTTTGTTCTTTGTTCTGCTTTGTTCCCGTCAGATCACCCTGTTCTTTGTTCTGGGATGTGGCTTTGTTCTTTGATGCCACATCCCTCTTAGCTGCAGCACTGACTAAATCACGTGCACTGTTAGAAACATCAGGAGGTGGGGTTCTTGTTGATGCTGTTAAAATCTGTAAATCTATTGTGAGGACAGTCTCCCAGTAAGGATTTAAATTTTAATTAGCCAAGATCAGCTCCTTTCGCTATATCCAACTGACTGGTTGGTTTCTTTTGGTATTGAATCACCCACAAGTACTGGGGCCCTAGGTGATCTGTGGTGTGAACGTACATAGCCGATCCATGATGATAACTGAATTGTCGCCTTACCAGATTGGAACACATTAATGCCATGCAATAGTATAGACAGAGAGAGAAAGAGAGTACAAGTGTTCATTACAATATTATAGGAATACCCAGCTGCTGAGTGTCTTGAAAACATTTGGGTTCGGTTTCATAGAGCCATCATCAATACTTCATTTTCTATGTTGTGACTTTATCTAAGGTTTCTCTTTTCACGAAAAAGGTTTCTATGTTTTTGTCTTATCAGAGATTGGGATCACTTCTACTATATATCATTTTATTAGTTGTATATGCACATATATATAGTTTCCTTGTTCTCCATCACAGCATATTCAAACGTTAAAGAGTGGTTTAATTTATAGAATGGTTATTGCAATAATGAAATATGAATATTAAGGCTTGTTTATTGATTTTCATTATTGTTCTTGATTGCTTTGTTAGATGAGCAAGGAATCTGAAAATCTTTTACTGGTGCAACATTGGTTTGAATTGCGTCGAAGAGCACTAGCTCTTCTTGCTTGTGTCTTTGTAAAAGTATGTGCAAGTGACATGTGTTCGAAAAAAATAAGTTACAGTTTGAGTGGCAAGAGAGAAATGGTACGTGATGAAATAATGAGCCGAATTAGCGATTGTCCCTCCAGTCGAAATATCATTAGAATGACTCCTAGAACTTTTTTAGAATTATGTGCTATGTTAGAAAGAGAGGCTGGCCTGCAACCCACGCGATGGTCAAGTGTGGAAGAAATGGTTGCAAAAACTCTATATATATTGACACACAATACAAAAAATCGTGAAGTGAATTTTTGGTTTGGGCGTTCTGGTGAGACAATTAGTCACCATTTTCATCAAGTTTTGACAGCTATCGTTGACTTAGAAGAAAAATTTTTGGTTCAACCTAATGGCTCAACCATTCTTCCTGAAATTGAAAAAGATAAGAAATTCTTCCCATATTTTAAGGATTGTGTCGGTGCTATTGATGGAACACATATACGAGTCAAGGTGCCTTCTTTAGATGCTCCTAGATACCGTGGTAGGAAGGAATTTCCGACACAAAACGTGCTAGCAACATGTACCTTTGATCTAAAGTTCACTTATGTGCTCCCTGGGTGGGAAGGTACTGCATCTGACTCAAGAATCATTAAGAATGCATTAACACGAGAAGATAAGCTTATAATTCCTGAAGGTAAATATTTTATCAATTTTGATAAAGTTTATATTTGTGAATGTAAAATTATTATAGTAATTATTTTCCTTTATGATAGGTAAATATTACCTTGTCGATGCTGGATTCATGTTAACAAGAGGACTTATAACACCTTACCGAGGAGTTCGTTATCATTTGAAAGAATATTCAAAACAGAATCCCCCCCTAAATTATAGAGAGTTATTTAACCTTCGACATGCAAGGTTACGCAATGCCATTGAACGTGCTTTTGGTGTTTTGAAAAAAAGATTTTCCATTCTATCCAATGCAACTGAACCTACATATGGAATCAAAGCACAAAAAATGATAATATATGTATGTTGCATTCTTCATAACTTCCTTATGAGTATGGACCCTATTGAAGATCTTTTAGAGGAAGTTGATGCTGTTCTTACAAGAGAAAACCATTCAAATGATAATAACCGTGCTCAAAGAGGGGACAATAATGAGGCTGCTCGAGGTGAACTTATTAGAGAAAATATAGCCACTCAGATGTGGGCAGATTATCAGGAACATCTAACTGCTCTTGAGGATGAACTTGATGATTGAATTTTGATTTTCTCAATAAGTTAGACTCTATTGTATCATTATAGACATTTAAATATGTTGTATTATTACATTGACTTATATTGAGTTTAATTGAGGTTTGATCAGATATTAAAATTTATTGTTTTATTGACTTTTATTTGCTTTGTATTATTTGTTTAGTTTGCTATTGAAATTTGATTAGTTTTTCATATTGGGATTGGTATTATGTGATTATATTGTTATATGATAGGATGGCACCAAACAATAATAAGGAGATTGTGAATTGGACAAGATTAATGGATGATGCCCTCGTTGATGCTTTCATGAATGAATATAATGAGGGTCACAAAGTTAATGGCACTTTTACAACTACAGCTTATGATAACATATGTAAATATTTGAGTGCTTTATTCGGTAAACAAATTGACAAGGAAAAGGTGAAAAATCGATGGAAGACTTTAAAGAAAAACTTTTCAGATGTTTATGACATTTTCAAAAGTTTGAGTGGGTTCGCTTGGAATCCAATAACTCAAGTATGGGATGCTGAGCCTGAAGTTTGGGATGCATTAATTGAGGTAAATTTCTTACATATGCATTGATTATATTATTATTTGAAAATGAAAAAGTATGCATTTGCAATTGAATTGCTTTTGTAATTTCACTTGTTTCAGGCTAAACCTAAAGCAGCATTGTGGAGAACTACTCCTTTTCCAAACTACGAAAAAATGATGATATTATATGGAGTAGATAGAGCTAATGGAGATGAGAGTGAGACATCCCGTGAGTGGAGAAAGAGACGTCGTTCTCAGGAAGAAGTCACTGAAACCGTCAATGACATTAACAATATTGTCTCACAAAATAGAGCCACAATTAATGTTGAGCTTGATGGACAAGAAAACTCATCGAGACAAGAAAACTCACCTGATCAAGAGCACTCACCCACTATTAATAGTGCATGTAGTAAGAAGACAAAAAGGGTGTCTAAGGAGAAGGAGGCTAGTATAAATGAGTTGACAAAAGCAGTGTTAGCTGTGGCTGAGGCAATTCAACAAGGAAATGTGATGATAGGACAAAGTTTCAAGAAGGTGCCACAATTGTCAGGTGAAGAAATTTGAAAAATGCTTGAAGAGTGTGGGATTGATGCTGCAAGATTACCTGACATATATTGGTTTCTTATGGCTGATAATGATAGGCTTAGAGCAGCAACTCAATGTCCAGCACCAGTACGGAAGGATGTGATAATGAGGATGTTTTATAGTTCTAATTAGATGATGACTTTTATTAATAATTTTTGTATATTTTGTTAGCTAAATGTCAAAATGTGATTCTTAAACATGATCAATATATTAGATGTTATTGCCCAATATATTTTGTTATTAATGATGGCAATTATTGTTCAATTGTTATTAAAGACTAGCATTGTCTTGTGCAAATTGGGGGCATAAAATCATTAGTTTCATTGATTTTTTTCACAAAGTATTGTTTAATATTTAGATTAATTTACTAATAAGATTATTTAATAGTATTATTTAATTTACTTATTTGGGGTGAAGAAGAAAAAAAAATTGACAAGATTAGGGTAATTTAAAAATAAATTATACAATTTTAGTTTATATGTAAAATAGATTTGTGTGATAAAAAGATAAAAAAATATTATTGTACAAGGGTATAATGGTAATTTAATTATTACCTCCCCTCCCCTCCCCTCCTAAACCAAACAAAGGATCATTAAAAATTCCTCCCCTCCCCTCCCCTCTAATCAAACCAAATAAAGTAGCTTAGAAACCCTCCCCTCCCCTCCCCTCCATCCCCTCCCCTCCCCTCCCGTCCCTTCCCCTCAAACCAAACATAGCGTAAGGTTTCAAGCTTTTTAAAATTATGCAAGTGTTTTAAAAAATTTTCTTATTCATCCAGCTCATTTAGTTTTTAATTTTGTAATGGTGGAAAATTTAAGGCTTAGAAGATGGATAAATTTATGTTAAATAAATATCATTGTTGAGGTTGTTAGTGGTATAATAAATATTTTAGAGTATAAATTTGTTGATAAGCTTTGAATTTGAGGCTTATGGATCAAACTCTACACTAGATTTTGATTAAATTCAAAAATATATGTTGATTTATTGAGATTTAGATAATTATTTGTGATGATAAGTGAATTGTTATGGTTATATAATGATGATTCTAGGCTTGAAACTCAATTTTCAATTTTTGGATAATTTTAAGTGTGAATTTATGAAATAAAAAAATTTGATCATATAAATTAGTTTAGATGTTGATTTTAGCTTATTAGTGTTTATTGATGACTAAAAGAGAAGTTAGAAATGTTACTTAATATACTAACTCTAAATTTGCATTAAGATTGAGATTAAGAATTATGTTATATTCTCTAATTCTATTATTAGAGTCATTTTATTAGTTTCAATAATTGAAATTAATATTTATAAATAATATGTTATTTATACATTGTGTTGTTGGTAAAGATTGTGGTGGGAGAGAAATTATAAGAAACAATTTATTGAAAAAGTCACGAGGTAACCATACTTTTAATTTATAATTAGTGTTGCTTCATGTTAATTGGGTGATTATTGAGAAAATTATGAATTATTGTGGAGAAATTATTTTATTATGTTTATGGAAAAAATTGTGAAATTATGAATATGCATTTTGAAGTATTTTTGTCAAGTGGTGTGTCATGTAATATTATTGAAAATGATAAAATTGTGAAAATTGTAATATGGTATAATTGTGCAATGTTGATATGAATTTTGTTCAATTATTGTGGGAGGTTTTGGGAGACTTTTCATTATTATTGTATTTATGTACCACGTGGTACGCCCTTATTGAGACCCAATATGTGGCTTGTAAGGGCTCAGGTTAATCTATCTTTGGTCGGGTAATTTAGTATCGAGTAAGAGGTATGGCTCGAGGTTAATGGAGAGAGATAAAGATGATTATTGTTCATGCATTACAATATTTCTTGTATTTTTGATGGACTTATATGATTGTTATTTCCCTACTTAGCAAGCACATATTTAACTGTTTGTATACACTATCATAAATTGACAATAGTTATTGGGACTTTTGAGTCTTATTATGTGGTTAACAATTTTTAGGAGAAGAGCCATGAGTGACGCATGGAGGAGTCTTTGAGGCTTAGTGGCATAAATTCACTGTCTCTTTTAAGTATTTGATTTATGATTTTTAATGTGTTATATTGTTAATACTAAGACTTTTTGTTTATTGACAATTATATGAATATAATGATGTAATCATACCCTTCAAACTATTTCTACTTTTGGTACACTTTGAATGACTGTATCTATGACATCTGAGTTATTTTAGATGGTCTCAAATGGCATAATTATGATGCTAAATAATTGGTTTGTTTTGAAAATTGATTAAGTTGTTTATTTTAATTGTTGGTCTATGGTTTGCACTTGTTGGGAGTATAAGGATGGAAAAATGTGATTTTAGCCTAATGGCATGTGAGAGGTAAAAATTTATCTGATATGTTATATTGTGCAAGTTTAAGCCAATTGTTAAATATTTTTATATTAAATTTATTGATATAAAATGTATTGGATGGTTGTAACCCAACTATCGTCACAAATGTATATTAGTTGTATGAAATTGATTTGCATTATTTGAGAAGAAAATCTTTTGGGCCTTTCGCATTTATTTTATTTTTAATTTCTTGAGATCCCAATTTTTAGAAATGGCAATTTAAAGAGTTAAATTCTATTTACCATAACAATACTTATTTTTCTATTATAAAGTTATGTTTTATCATTTTCTACTATAGTAGTGTTTTAAATTATAGAATTATTTCAAAACAAAAATATAGGATAAGTTAATTTCTGTTTACCGTGGTAAACACTTTTCTACCATGATTGAGTTAAATTGTTTTGAAAAAAAAATTTAGGGTATTACACCACAATTATTGGCACTTGGTATGTAAATTTAGACACTTTAGTTGTTGTTTTGGAAAGAAAAGGCACCATTTTTGTCTAGGTGTCCAACTTTTAATTGCATTAATATTAGGTTGTGAAACTAGTGTCAGTGGCCAGGTGGCTCTAACAACTACGCGTGAACACTTGAATTACTCAAATTGGACATTGGATAACGAAACGATGTGCTTTGAAAGTTGGCCCGGAGTATTGTCATTTGCTGTCCTAATAGCATGCTGTCATACATTGTGGCGTAATTTACATAGAGGGACGTATGCCACCTGTCATCGTGGGTGAGGCTTTATGGCGGATGATGCAAATTATGGTATTTTCCAGATTATTCTGTTATCATTTTTAAGAGTTATTTTTGGTTTCCATACTTCCATTATTTTATATAATTTGTTTTAAACTATAGTTTGAGCTCAAATAGAATTTTAAAAAGAGTTTTCTTGGGATTCCCACTTCTTTAACTTTTTCATAACTCTTTTTCTTATGATAACCATTTTTAAGGGATTTAATTATTCTTTGTTATCATAACAGTGTTCTGTGTATTTGGTGATGTTGGGGATGAGTTACATCCTAGATCCTAAATTATTATTTGAATAGCATTCTAGATCTTAAACTTTTAAAATGAGTAAAAACTCTCATCAACTTGTAAATTCTAAGCAAATTACCCCCCACCATTTATCCATATAACATCAACGGTTATGTAGCCCAGTTGGTTTGTCACGTGTTAAGAGCAGATTAGTGCAATATCAAACTTTAATTGGGCTCCATAAAATGAAAAGTGACAGTGTTTACATGTAAATTAATGGTGGGGGCAATTTGTTGTTCAAGTAATAATTTATAATCTAAGATACTCATTTTAAGAATCACTACAAAAAAAATGACTTTCAAGGGTGAATTTCAAATGTGACTCTAAAAAGTCATTGAAAATGAACAATTTGCGGCGATAAGAAAAGTCACCACTAAAAGTCTTACTTTCTACAGCAACATTCAAAGTCGTCATCGAATGTCTAAGTTTCAGCAACTATATATAAGTCGTCACTGAAAATTCACAATTAGTAACAACTCAAAGTCACTGCAAAAAGTAAGACTTTCAATAGAGACTGAATGTCACTGCTAAAAGTTTTATTTTCATATTATCATCGTAATTTTTTATTTTTTGTTTAATCTAATACTTAACATTTTAAGACATTAATTTTGTTATATTATTGTAATTTTATAATGAATATACAAAATAACATAATGAGTTTTCATTTAATATATTTTATGGTTAAATTATAACTTTAAAATAATAAAATTATTTTAAAATAAGGTTAATATATTATTTAATGCTAATGAGCCGGACTAAAGAATTAAGGCAAATTGTATTATTTTATGTCAATTTTTGTTATCAACTAATGTTTGGTTTGATTCGGCCCACTTATTTAGGTCAGTTTGGTCACTTGATTTTAGTTAATTAATACCAAATCTAATTGAATTGACCAATGCATATCCCTATGTGAAATGATAAATTCATTCAAAATTTTAATGTTTGATAATTTAATTTGGAATGCATATAATATAGTAATGGGTCTCTATTTGTAAATGTCTTATGATTAAATTGATATTTTAAACAATAACAGTACTTGTTTATAATAATTAGATATATGATAGTTAAATTTATTCATTCATAGAATGATATTTTATCTAATCTAATTTGTCAATTCAAATTTTACATTTAATATTGGTAACTTTGAAGTTTGATGCCAATTTATATGTTACCCTTTTTGATAGCTAATGATAGAAAAGAGAAAGATAAAAGTATATATTTAAAATTTTACATTTAACTTTTACAATATATGAAATATATCTATGTAGGTTATGCTATATGATATTTTTGTTTGATGCTATCTTGTGACATAAATATAAAAATAATTAGATAATATAGTGTATAATTTTCTTATAAAATTATAATATAAAAATAAAAAATAATTTAAAAAGTAAAATGTAATGTAAAAATGAGCCGATTACATTACTTAGGAGTTATTGTTCATAAAAATAAAAATAAAATTTTAAATAAAACTAGCTACAAAAATAAATAATTTTGAATTAATGTATAATCATCTATATTTTTATTATGTATTCTTAGATGTTTTTATATTATAATTATAAATATGAATATT